AGTCGCAACCCGACAAGCAGGGCTTCATACTCAGCCTCATTGTTGGTCGCTTTAAACCCAAACCAGAGAATACCATGGATTCGAGTCCCTTCGGGGCTTACAAGGAGAAGACCCGTGTCGGCTATTTTTCTGTTTGATGACTCGTCGACGTAAAGGTTCCAGGTCGACAGGTTCCGAATACTTTCCTGGATGGCTTCGCCAGGCTATTGCTCGCTTGGAAGATAGGAAAATTCTGAGATGAAGTCAACAACAGCTTGCCTTTTAATGGTCAACCTGGGCTTGTACTTCACGTCAAACTGGTTTAATTCCATGGCCCATTTGAGCAGTTTACTCGAGGCTTTTGGTTTCTGGAGGACCTGCTTGAGGGGGTAATTAGTCATTACGTGGATCGTATGGGCGTGGAAGTAAGGTCGCAGCTTTCTGGATTCGATCAGCAGAGCAAAGGCTAGTCGCTCCATTTTCGGATACCGCATCTCGGCATTCGTCAAACGCTTGCTCGCATAGTACACTGGCCATTGCGCCTTTTCCTCTTCCCATACTAGAGCTGCACTGACTGCGAACTGAGAGACAGACAGGTAGATGAGCAGGATTTCCTGTGGAAGAGGCTTAGAGAGGAGAGGTGGCTTCCCGAGGTGTTCTTTTATACTCTGGGATGCCTGTTCGCATTTGGAAGTCCATTCAAATTTCTTGTTGGCCTTCAGAACATTGAAAAATGGTAAGTAGCAGTCTGTTAGTCTAGATATGAAGCGACTAAGTGCTGCTATTCGCCCATTTAGACTCATGACCTGTTTTTTGCTGGTCGGGCTCTCCATATCGAGCAGAGCTTGAATCTTCTCGGGGTTTATTTCTATCCCTCGCTGATTAACCATGTACCCCAGGAACTTTCCTGACGATACCCCGAATGAACACTTGAAAGGGTTCAGCTTCATTCTGTACAGTCGGAGGATGTCAAACATCTCAGCGAGACGTGCAATGTGTTCTGAGGCGACCTGGGATTTGACCAGCATGTCATCCACATAGACCTCCATTGTCTTTTCGATCTGGTCAGAGAACATTTGGTTAACCAGCCGCTGGTAGGTTGCGCCAACATTCTTGAGGCCAAAAGGCATAACTTTGTAACAGTACAGCCCTGGTCCGTAATGAAGGATGTATGCTCCTCTTCTGGCCCATACATCGGGATTTGATTGTATCCCGAGTATGCATCCATGAAGCTTAGTAGCTCGTGCCCCGAGGTGGCATCCACGAGCTGGTCGATTCTTGGCAGATGGAAGCTGTCTTTCAATCAAGCCTTGTTGAGGTCGCTGAAATCAACGCAGTTCTGCCACTTGCCATTTGGCTTCTTTACCAGGACCGGGTTGGCAACCCAGGTCAGGTAGAGTGCCTCTCGGATGGACCCATTCCAGAGGAGGTTTTCCACTTCTGATTTTAATGCAGCATACCGCTCCGGATCCATTGCTCTTCTTTTCTGGCGAACTAGTTTGGCCTCACTGTCGATGTTTAATGCATGGCAAATGATGTCCGGGCTGATCCCGACCATATCTGCATGCGACCAGGCAAACACATCGATATTTTCAACTAGGAAACTTATCAGTTCGGAAGCGAGCTGAGGGTTGAGACAGCTTCCAATTCTTAACACTCGGCTCGGCTCTTTTGGATCAACCGAAATCTCAGACAAATCCTCAACCGGGCTGCTGGGAGGGATTTCCTGGATTCGAGGATCTATATTATCCTCCGCTGGACCAGGCTGTGGCTCGATTCGGCTAATCGTCATAGCCTGGTGATGCGCACATCGTGAAATGCCCTTTCCTTTGCTTGCCATCTACACCACTTTTATGTAGCATTCGCGAGATGCACTTTGCGATCCGCTCACTTCCCCTATCCCCGTTGGAGTTGGGAACTTCATCTTGAGATGGTATATGGAAGTGACTGCCTTAAAGCTTCTCAACAGAGGTCGCCCCAAGATTCCATTGAAGGCCGATTGGCAATCCACGACCAAAAATTTGGTAACCCTAGTCACCTCATCGTAGTCGCCGAGCGTGACTGGGAGCTGGATCGTTCCTTTGGGGATCAGGTGGTCTCCTGTAAAACCGTAAAGAGGTATCGAGGCGGGCTTCAGGTTGGCCTCGTCCAGGTTCATTCTTTCGAAAGTGGTCTGGAACAGGATGTTCACAGCGCTTTCGTTGTCCACGAGCATTCTGCAGACATTATGGAACCCTATCAGGGGTGATCACCGGGGCGTCGTCATGAGGATGATGCAGGCAAGCTGCTTCCTTTTCGCAGAAGGTGATCGACTCCTCCTTTCGAGCCTTTTGCGGTCGCTGCGAAGTGTTCATTACCCTGATCGGGTCATGATATGCTTCGCGAGCGTACCTTTCCTGCGCACCTCGCGTGTTTCCCGCGAGGTGCGGGCCTCCGAAGATTATGTTAACACTACTGTATCCACTACGATCATGATGCTTTTTCTTTTGCTCCCCTTGGTTCTTTTCGGAGCAGAGTCATTAATATACTCCTTGAAGTGCCCTTTCTTGATGAGCTCTTCGATTGCCTGCTTTAGAGCTCGACATTCATCGGTGTGATGCCCGTTGTCCCGATGGAAATGGCAGTATTTTTTGTTGTTTCTGGCCGCAGCAGGGGTTTTCATAGGTTTCGGCTCACCGAGCAAGCTGGCCTCCTTGGATTTGTCAAGAATTGCGGATATGGACACATTCAGCAGAGTGTATTGAACTCTGTCTCGGTCGCGACGAGGAACAGGAGCATAGGACTTTTTGTGCTCATAGCGGGGTTTCTTCCCTTTTCGCTGATCGTCGATGTCTCCTTTGCAATCAACTCTCCTACCTTCCCCCCAACCAGACATACTGCTTGAAGTGCCGTGATCGCGACGGCGGAGTGCCGTTAATGAATTCTCTATTCGGAGATATTTTTCTGCAAGGTTGTAAAATCTGGTGAGGGAAACATCGTCCTCAGCCTGTAGTTCTTTCCACAGGTCGGTTTGCGGGTGAACTCCAGCTATTATAAGTGTTCAGATGGACTTTTCGGGGGCATGAGCCATCTTGTTGAGTTCCCTGTGGAAACGGTCGATGTAGGATTGTAGGGATTCGTCTCTTTCTTGCCTTATGTTACTGAGGTAGCTTAAAGGCATCGAAAACTTTTGATTTGCTTGGAAATGCCGTAGGAACGTCGTGCTCATCTGAGGCCACGAACTGATCGATCCCGCTGGGAGCCACCTTAACCACCGCTTGGCGTGAGAAGTCAGCGTCACGGCCAAACAATGGCATTTTGCAAGATCCGAAACCTGGTGGAGCTCCATCAGGTCGTTGAACTCATACAAATGATCCTACGGGTCATGGTTCCTATCAAACAGCCGCATGTTGAGCATTCTGAACCCCGGTGGGAGTGGAGCAGCTAGCACTTCGGGAGAGAAAGGGGATGCAGAGGCGACCTAGGCCTCCTTATTTTGCTGCTCCCTTAACCTGTCCAGAGCTCGTTATAGGTCCTCAATTTGTGGTAACGGAGCCAATTGGGGATTGCTTTCACCCATGCGAGTCCCGCCTTCGCGATTACGGTTTAGGAAAGTCCAGAGGTCGGACTCCTCTTCGCCTTGGCTGGCATTTTTGGCCGCTCTCGACACACGCTGACTAGAGGCGTGTGAAGGCGATGGATGGTGCAAGGTATTTTTACGACCCTCGCGGTGGTACGAACCACCCCGCGAGGTGTGGGGACCACCCGCATGATAGCGATCAAGATCGTTCTATTGGCGATGATAGGAATCGTCCCGCCCGGCACTTCTGCTTGGGTTCATCTGTGACGTGGCATGGGACAGCTCGGGATTCACTTTTTTGTCGAGTCTCAGCTTTGCTGGCACCCTGCTTGGGGTACGGTTTGTGTTCGCTGGCCCTTGGGAGCCCGTAGGCTTGTTTTTTGCCACTTGCTTGCCCTTACGTCTACGCGCTACAGTGCTCACGGCACGGGCTATTTCCCTCTGTCGAGCTTTCGCGCGACCTGTAGGCGTTTTTGGCGGTTGCACCGCCCCAGCTGTTCTAGATGATACGCCTTGGTCCAAACGGTCCAGCCTTTGGTTGACCGTCTGGAGAGTATTGTCGAACCTCTCTAGGTAGCTTCTGATGGCGGGGTTAAGCTGCGAAGCTGTCGGGATATCCACCACAGCATTTTGTGAAACTAGAAGTATCCTAGAAGGGGTATCCCCCTGGGTTAGGGGAACTCCCTCAGCACACTAGTTGGCTTGCTCAAGTTCAGATTGGCGGGCCATCTATTGCTGTAAGACTAGTAGGTTGAAGATTCTCCTGATGAAAGATGAACACTAAATGAGGCCCTCCTTCTAGCGCCAAAACTATTGATGCGTGATTTTGACACCAACTAATCGACACGTGCGTAACGTTGATTGGTCAAGAGACGCACGTGATTATGGATGAAATGTAGAGTAAATGCAACAATGAGAGCTTTTTGAAGTGGTTCGGATGCTAAGGTAGCAAATCCTACGTCCACTGATAGTTTGTATTAGAATCGTGGGTCAGGTCGCAACAGCGGACTGACTTACAAATAATTAGGGAAAAGTAAATACAAAAGTACAATGATAAGAGAGAGAGAAAGCTAGTTCAGAGTGCAAGAAGGCCGAATCCCTCTAATGAAAAGATCTTTCCTTTTTATAGTGAGATGAGTACAGATAACCATCATTAAATCTGTGGGTTAGTGCGAATGTCAGGACTAAATCCGGCTTTACGTCACATTACCCACCTTCCAAGCTGATTTTACACGATTTGGAGCAGGGAAATGGACACGTGGGAGCTCCATGGCGCCTTGCATGCCTGACGTGCGCTTACCGTTCTGATGGGAGCAGGTCACCCCCATCACGTGATTTCTCACATCAGCCCTTGATTTCCCAGGCATAACAGTTCTATTTTTCTTATTTTATTTCATTTAGTGTTTTGATTAAATTTTTACTTGAGAGTTGATACTTGTTATTTTTTCTAGGAAATCTAGTTCATGCCGCAGTGCAAGTTCTTCACGCTGCAACATATTTTGGCTTATATGCACATTCTATTCGTTGCGACGCTACATCACAAGTTCCCATGCCATGGAATATTTCGACGTGAGATGCACAGTGAAATCGTTGTGGCACTACGTCTTGACTTAACGCAAAAATTCATTTCACACTGCTGCACAAAGTTTCGCGTCGTGCTGCATTTCGGCATTTTGCAACTTGCAATGAAAATCCATGTCATGCCGCGTCACAAAATGTTGCATCGTGATGCATTTTGAACATTATTCAAAACAGCGCCTAGAAAAACCATGTCACGCCATGGCGCAAAAGCTCATGCTACGGCAGAACTAGTTTTCTATATAAGAAAACTAATTTTTTTTCTCATTTCAGTTCCATTTTTTTTTTTTTTTGGACTGCGGTGCCATTTCGACTCTCCCTCTCTCAAATCTTTATTGTTCTTCAATTATTTGATGAATTGATGTTGTTAAATCCTTCCCTACACCTTGTAAACACTCATTTACACTTGATTTTGCAGAAATCCACCAATTGACACTAAGGAGAAGTTAGGGTTGAATTGGGGCTCTTCAATTTGGATAAAAAATTCAGCAATCCAAGGCTTCCAGACCTCTCAATTGTGTTAGTAAGACCTTTAATCACAAGATTATAATGTTATTTGTTGAGAAATTTTTGAAAATTTTAGATATTGAAAATTGCTCAAATTCCAAGTTTTTTATGTTTATTTATGCAATCTGTGGTGAAATTGAGCTTGATTAAGTGTTGTCTGTGATTGTTGTGGGAAATTTTGGAAATTGGTTGAATGAGACTATTGTGATTGTGGATTGGCAGTTTGTGTATTGTTGTGTAATTGGGCAGATTGATTGGGGTGTGTAAAGATTATTATGGTTGATTTAGTGTTGTGTAATTGGGCAGAATGGTTTGGTTACTCTAGGGCTGCTATTGTTGTGTTTATTGTGGAGTATTTGTGTTTTGATATCTGAATGGCATCGGATAAGAGGAGTAGAGATGGGGCTGGGATTGAGTACGAGTCGTAGGGCTGCCCCCACGGGACACCCATGATGATAGGTTTGTAAGTCCCATTGCAGAAAAGAGACATAAAGAGGCTGCTAAGAGTGGTCAGGGGTTTATTGATGAGAAGGGATTTGACTTTTAGAGTGCATATTCAGGGGTTATTGATGTGATTAGCGACCTGAAATGGGAGAAATTTACAGCCCCTAAGGAAGCAACTATCAATCCCTTTGTCATGGAGTTTATTATATCACAATAACTTGCCCTATATAACCTTTAAACACATTTTCCTACCTATGATTTTCTTTTAAGAGGATTTAATATGAATTTATGAAAGTGAGAATGTGTGTGGCTTAGAAAAATGTTTTCAAACTTTTTGAAGGTATTCAAAAGAATGGGTTGGGGGTTGTTGTGTGATGCGATTATCAAGGTAAATATCCATGCTCCCTAAAATTTTAGTCAATTAAAAGTAAATCTTTAAAAAAAAAAAAAAAAAAAAATCATCAAGAAATGAAAATGAATGAATAAGGAAGTATGGAAAGGGTACAAATTCAAATGTGGTTGGGAAGAGAGTGAATTATGCTTTTAGCAATTTTGTTCTTAAGAAGGAAGATTAATCCTCTTATTTGTTTGATTCCCTTCCATTCTTTCATAACGTTACAAGCTTAATAAAGTCCTAATGATCTGAAGTTGTGCGTTCATTCTATATTATTGGAGAGTGATATGAAAAGTAGGCCTATGGAGTTTGTGTTTATTAGTTTTCATATTTATGGTATCAAAATTTTTGCCTATGGATGTTGCATATGGAACTATCTCTAGGGCTAGGATTGACAGATTGTGGAATTGACTGGTGTTAGAGAGTTCAGAATGAAGGTGAAATTGATGTTTAGGGTGCTATTAGATGAGGGTGATTATTGCTTATTCTTTTTGCTATATGTGTATGCAATTTATGAGACACCTCTATTGACTAATTTGGGAAATTTTTGTCTTGTAAATGTGTGTTAGGATTTATAGGATGTTTGTGGGTAACATCATTGAAAACCCTCACGAGACTATAACTCGTCCACTAAGGGGTCCTAGGGGTTTAAAGGCTTATTGCATACGCTAAATGCAATCATGATAACCTATGGAAGTGGTTTAGTTTACGATAGCTTAGTTACGATTAGATTTTATTTTAGATCATTTTTATTGCTATGGACTAGCAATAAGCTGGTTGGGGGTTGTAATAAGTGTCAGAAATGCATATATATTTAGTGATTTGGTGTTTAGATTGGAGGGAATTCATGGTTTAATGCATTATTTTGCATGAAATTCCTTGCATGTTTCGTTATCTTCCAGAATCATGGGTTTATATGTGTTTTCAGAAATTCAGGTGCAGAATTGATGATTCGTACGTGTGCTAATGTTCGAACCATCAAGACTCGTTAGAGTGCGAATGAATCAAGACATGAAGAAAGAAAATTGGAACTTCAAAGTTGTGCTGCGGCATAGATTTACGGTGCCACGACACAAATCGGGGAAACCCATCGCGCACTGCAACGTGATTCATCGCACCATGGCGCCATTCGAGCAGAATGAAAAATATGCAATTTCCAACCCTAATTTGCCTTTCCAATTATTAAAAAAAATGCCCTTGTAAAAAACTATAAAAGGGCAACTTATTTCGTTTTTTAGGTATTCTAACTTTGTAAACGTTTGGGCTAACTTGGAGATGGGGTTTTTGATAGGCAAGGAATAAAACTTTGATTTTTGTTGTGGATTTATGATCCAAATGCTTATGGGTAAGATTAAGGTTTGTTTTCTTGTAATTATGAATAGCTAAACCCTTATCTAGTGTATCCAATGTAGCCTAATTTGAATGCTCTATGTTTCTAATCTAAGTTACTTGTTTAATCAATTCAATACAATCTTGGTTTCATTCATTGTTGTTTGTTCAATCTTTAATTAATATTATTGCTTGATCATCTTTAATAATTGATTAATTGATTATGTGAGTCAAGGTTAGACTATACGCCTTAGCTAATCTTGAATAGCTGATGTGAATGAATGGTTTGTGTTTGTACATATGCCCTGACAGATATTAATCGGGTTGTGAACTTCGAGTACTTGTAGACTTAATGGGTTTTCAATAATTAAACTAGACTATACGCCCTAGCTAGTTTAGTGATGAAAGCACTAGGTTAATCCCGAACGCCTTACAGTAATACCTTAATTTGGCAAGTATTGACCCTAGGATGTGAATTGAGAAAGCCATAGTTAGATTATTGGCATAGAGTAGGATAATTACGGTTAAATTGGGTACCTAGACCTTTCTCTATTTGATTCTACATCGTTTTATTACTGTCTTACTTTTAATTGTTAATTTTAGTTATTTTACTGTTATTTTAGAATTATTAGTTAGTTGATTAAGTTTGTTACTTTATTTGGCTGATGCATGCTATTAGATTAATTGATAACTTACAATTCTATGTGGGATTGACCCTTGCTGTTGCACACTATACTGCGATAGCGATTCGTGCACTTGCGAGGAATATAATTTTGTCTATCAATCCTTCAATCTCATTATTCTCATATTTCTTTCAACGTTGAATTTAATTTGTTTGCTTTTAATTAATTGTTTTCATTTTCTGCGTTATCAATCAACCCCAACCCCCCTCCCCCCAATTCGGTAAACAATTAGTTATTTTGAAAAATCTTCTGCGGGAAAAACCCTTGCTTGCTTTGTGCTACTAAATGACATTTTAAGATAATTTAAGTAAGGTTTAAATTGGTGGTTGCTTTTGCATGCATCAATTTTTGTTACTATTGCCAGAGACTTTTCTTAAATTGACTTTTTATTTACTTTTCGTTATTTTATAATATTTTAGCTTAAGTTTTTTCTGTTTCTTTTTCAAGTGTCGTGGTGATTGAGCTCTTCTTTCAATTTCAAGTCAAATCCCCACTTTGTACTGATTCCACCTATCATCCTTTCTCAACAACCCGTGGGTAAGGAAGTTTCAATCAAGCAATCAATATCGATCTTCCATCCACATGCAATTCTTCAAACAATTCAGATTATTCCGATCACAAGGAAATGGCTAGAAATAATCAAATTCGAACTCTTAAGGAGATGGCTACACCAGCTTTGGACCAACAACTCTTGTACCTCTGATACCATGAAACGAGTGAAGCTTTTGGAATGAAGTCCGGCATGATTCATCTCTTGTTAGAGTAAGTGCCCTAGAGCCAATCAATTATTGTAGAATTGACTCTTTGTAATAATGTTCATTGATCAATAAAAGGCTTTTTATTTTATATCGTGTAAATCATATTTTATGTATTGATATATGTCCTAAGGCTGGTAGAACCGTGATGAGGGTATCAAGTGTTTCAAATCTTGATAGTGAGAACCCTATGATCACATATGGTAGCCATTCTAGAAATGTCGTAGCCCTAGTATTATTCTGACCAAGAGCACAGATAATACGGTAAGGCTATCATAGTGTTGAACGACCTTGTCGAAAGGCAGTGACTGATCTTACTTGTCAAGATTGTTTGCCGACAACCTGATGCAACACATGGGTGCTTGCTGTAGGCAAGTTCACTAGACTAACCCACCAGAGGATTCCATATAGATGGTAACGCCAGTGTCTATGGAACAAATCCTCTAATGAATGGTGGTGCATGTGATCCTTAACTTGAGATCATCGGAGCACCTTGTGCACTGATTGGTGTAGTTTGACACTAGCCCAACGCAGTTCTATTCAGAGTTGTCAATACGATAGTGATTGGCTACATCGAGGAGTGTATCAAGACTATGGTGGATCGATAGAGGATTCATCACTCCCAAGTACAGGAGAAGTTATCTCACTACGCAATTCAGTAAATGACAATGACACTAAAGCTGTGGCCACAGTGGGATTGAGTTGTTACTCAATCTAATTTATTATTCCGGTCATTGGTCCAGTAATTAAATACAAAGATATCGAGAGTAATTGAGGTTGACACTATTTCTGTACCTCAAACTTGATGAGATAACAGATGACGAAAGGATTTGATTGCATGGTAACCATATCGTTGATAGGTAGCTATTTCGCTAAATCCGAATCTATTGGGTGGTCATGATGCCTTGCTAGGGGCCAATCTTGGTCTGTGTGTAGTGAGATGATTAATTAGTATTAATCGTGATACTACTCACTGTCAGTATGATGAGGAGCCTACAGGTCACACACTTAGAAGAAAATTTAAGAATCGTTTTGTTCAACGAGTATTTTCGTCTTTTAGGACGAAAGGGTATTTTGGTATCTCACAGTGCAATTCAATTTGCTGAGGTTGTTGCCTAGATTTAATTTAATATTAAAATTAAATTAGTGAAATTATATTTAAATATATGTACGCATATATTTAAATGAATTATTATTAATTAAATGTTAATATATTTTTATAAATATATTAATTAATTTTAATTATAATAAAATACCAAAAGGAGAGTGTTTGGACACATGGGTTAATTTGGATTGGAGCCCAATCCTATTCCTAAAAGGATTAGGGTTTTGACATATGCACTATATAAGTGCATGTGTATTGAAGAAAAAAATTAATTCATTTTGTTCATTCATTGAAAACGGCAACCCTCTCTCTCTACACTCTCACACGTTTTCCCTTGATCTTGAATCAAAGATTTTTCTTTGATTCAAGTTGATTCTTGAAGCCAAAGAGGATCTAGCAAATCCTTCTTTGGTTCTTAAAATTGTCTTTGTGTGTATCACCATTCGTTCGGTTCTACGTTGAATCGAAAGCGAAGTAGATTCAGAGACATTTGAAGGAGCCTCCAAACATGCGTAAGATCTCTAATCCTTGAATGGATTGTTTATATTTTCTGTAGAATTTTGATTTAACGTGTTAACTATATAATCTGTACCCTGATTTTGGGCTTTAAAGGAATCAATTTATCCTTTAATTTTTGTTTTTCCGCTGCGTTTGGTAGATCAATTCCTAACATCTTTTACCTACTTTCAAAGGTCTAGCGGGAGAGTATTTGAATAAACATCTCAAAGAATTTCATGTGGTGTGCTCTAGCATGAAACCAAGTGGCACTACTAAGGAACACGTTAAGTTCAGAGCCTTTCCATTCTTTTTAGCGGACAACGCTACAACACTAAAGAGTGGTTGTATTATCTACCATCTCAGACCATTGACAATTGGAATGACATGAAAAGACTCTTTTTGGAGAAATAATTTCCAACTTCTAGAATTATTCTCATTCGGACGGAGATTTGTGGCATGCGGCAGTACAGTGAGGAAAGTTTGTATGAGTATTGGGAGCGGTTCAAGAAACTTTATGCTAGTTGCCCTCATCATCGAATAAGTGTGCAATTCTTATTCCAATACTTTTACAAAGGGTTGATGCTTATGGAAAGAAGCATGATTGATGCAACAAGTGGTAGAGCTTTGGTTGACAAAACCCCTTAGAATATAAGAAATTTGATTGCAACTATGGCTACTAATGCTCAACAGTTTGGCTCCCGATCTGATCCACCACTAAAGAGGGTCAATGAAATGGATACTTCCACTAATATTGAGCAGCAATTGAGCACCTTGATTCCACTTGTGCATGTTGGTAGGACAAGTTAAAACATGCAGAATTTGCTCTAACATTGGTCATCTTATTGACATGTGCCCTACTCTTCACGATCCTAATGTGGAGCAAGCAAACACTTTGGGAGGATTTCAAGGACAACAAAAGCAGAGGTATGACCCCTTCTCCAACACCTATAATCCAAGGTGGAGGGACCACCTCAACCTTAGCTATTCGAGAAACCACTAAGCTACTACCCCTACTAATCCACCAAGTTTTTCTTATCTAAGAGCACAACAACCATATCAAGTGAGGCCACAAAATGCTCCACCACCTCAAGGCAAGTCTCTAGAAGAATTAATAAATTCTTTAGCCACCAACACTATCCAATTCCAACAAGATAGAAAACATTGATCAAGGACCTTGAAAACCAAGTTGGTCTATTGGCCACTACCGTTGAAAGACTATAGGCAGAAGGATCCAGAAAACTTCCTTCTCAAACTGCAGTCAAACCTATGGAGAATGCTAGTGCTATATCATTGAGAAGTCGGAAGCAACTTGAAGAAGCTCACAAGAACCTGATCAATAATGAAGAGGCTAAGGATGAGCTGATTCAAGATGGGGCAAGCAAGTCCAATAATGAGGGAGATAGGGCGTTTGACTTCAAAAAAGCAAAACAGCCACTTAAGGTAGAATCTACGATTCTAATTTCTATTTATGAACCTCTTCTACCTTTTCCTAGCAAGTTTGCAAAATCGAAGAAGGAGGACCACGAACAAGAAATCTTGGATACCTTCCGGAAAGTGCAAGTCAACGTACTGTTGTTGGATACCATAAAATAAGTACCACACTATGCAAAGCTCCTCAAGGAATTATGTACCATAAAATGAAAGCTCAAGGGAAACGAGGTGGTAAGTGTAGGAGAGAATGTGTAGGCGGTCTTGGAAAGAAAGCTTCCACCAAAGTACAAGGATTCGAGTAGTTTTACCATACCATGCATTATAGGTAACCCTAAAGTTGAAAAGGCTATGTTAGATTTAGGTACTTCAATTAATGTTATGCCTTATTCTATTTATGTTGCTATAAATATTGACTCTCTTAAAGAAACCGACATAGTTATTCAACTAGCCAGTCGTTCTAACACCTATCCAAAGAGAGTTTGGGAAGATGTTTTGGTGCAGGTTAATGAGCTCATCTTCTTGGTTG